AATTATGTTGCTATGTAATTAGTATAAACAGTAAAGCATGTTACCGTTTATTGTCTTCTTAAATATACAATACTAAGATGAAATTTCATAGTAAGTTTTGGTACTGTAAGCAGATGATTGTAGACGGAACCAAATCAGTTTGTACACAGTTACTCATCAGCTTGAATCTGTTCAATCTTGATGACCTGTGTTATGTATGCGTGTGTGTGTGTGCGTGTGATTGAAGTTTTGAACTGGTGATGGATAGCTATATCAGTTGAAAATGAAATTAAAGAATGTAGCCCCCAAATGACCTAGGAAGAATTAGCTCTCCCTTTCGAAATGCTCTCACATGGCAACGTGTATACAACCACTACCAGCAAAGTCCTGCTCACTACACCCTCGCACCACGCGTGTTGTTACGAAATTCAGAGGACGAAGAGTGAATGTCCGGCGCTATAATCAGGTTGGTGGATATGGAGAGTCTACCTAAAAGAGTTGGAAGACCCTGATTCTATACCAATGGTGTACATGGTCTCCAGTATCCTGAAGGAACAAATGGTGTATGAAGCAATTATTGGTCGTTGGATATCATGGAACTGCATCTCCTTACGTTGTTGCACTGCTTTGTGGATCACACCTTTGGGTCGAAGGCTCCGAGTGTGGCTGCCTAAGAACATTACCTGCTTCGTTTTGGGCACTTGGGTAGTCTTCCAGACCTCACACAAATCGAATGATTTATTTGGTACATGAAATTCAAAATGATCATACGAGAACAACATTGACTAATATTATGATGATAAAACTTGAAATAGTAACTTGGCAGTTGAAAAAAGTTGTTTTTAAATATTTTCTGGAATATCTTGAACAATGAAAACGGAGATGAGATAGGTGTACTGTATATCAGAGGGGGGGGTGGAGGATATTTGAATAACACAAATTTTGTATAGTTTTTAGTTATGGAAACTGTTGAATACAACTGTCGTATCAAAATCCCGAATAAATTATATACCAAAGACATAAGTTCTTGTGACACTGTCTGTTTGTTTTGCCGCACAAATAAGTATATCGGAGTCAAGACTACTAGATAGTCTCTATATTCTACCGACGGTGCACCATAAACGACAATAGTTTTACTATTTAAATCAGCTTCAAATGTCATAGCACAACTAAAAATAATGACCAACACTAACTATCAAGTTGATAATAATAAATGAATATGAAATGTATCGTACCTCAACTCATTACCCACTAAGATATCAATTCTGAATGACTATCAACCTAGTCAATAAGTGTAGAGGTATTATGAAGAGTTTATGATTTTGAGTTGTCGAAATTCAGAACTACGATTAGTAATTCTCTGTTGAACTTTGAGTATACTGGGCTGATTGGCTTGATATTGTCTTTTAGTCACAAGTTGTTTTGTAAATCTTTATAGTAACTAGTAGTCTAATCCAGGGTGTACCATTCAAATGAGTGTTATATGAATACTTTTTTTTTCATGTTAATCATCTTCAGAATTGCATAGTTGTTTGGAAGGTTTTAAATTCCCAGTAAGTATTCTAAATTCAGAATAGCTGTAGTTAAGATGAGAATTTTCATTTTCATTACGATCTGATATCAGTTGGAAAATCATTTATAAAAATATAAGAGATACGATATTGTTGCTTTGCTAATTCCATTACTTTAGTAGTATGTTCTCATCGACCACACTAGAAGTTCAACTTGAGGTCTCCGGATATTCCAACCACCAAGATATTGTTCAGTCACTAAGTTCATACCTAACTTGTTCAAATATGCAACATAAGTGCACCCATCTACATTATGTCATCAATGAGTTACTTTTCAGTCCAGATATATTTGGATTTCACTGGTCATTCAAACTTCAAAATCTTATCACGAAATTGATCCTCAGTGAGTACACGTTTAGTATTATTTCTAGGAGAGAACGACTTACAGTCATTTCCAATAACATAAAGTAAAGGCTAATGACAATTTTTCATGACCAAACACTGCCTAGTATATAATGTACAAACATAAATAATGTAAGCTTATTACTGGCTATGTTCAATAAAACGAAACTATCTACTGGGATTCTGGGAGCGAAGCCAAAATAAGTCCGACCAGAAATCCATGATATTTGTACTAGTATTTTGTGAAAATTTTCTTAATATATATTTGAACATAGAAATATTGGTACAAAGGGGTACTGAATAGATAAGAGCCACACAAGTCACTTGATTTGTGTGTGTGAGCTGTGATACTGCCCGGATACCCAAACCGAAGCAGGTGATGTTCTTAGGCAGCCACACCCGGAGCTTTCGAACTTATGGTCTGATCCACAAAGCAGTGCAACAACGTAAGGAGATGCAGTTCCATGATATCCAATGACCAATAATTGCTTCATACACCATTTGTTCCTTCAGGATACTGGAGACCATGTACACCATTGGTATAGAATCAGGGTCTTCCAACTCTTTTAGGTAGACTCTCCATATCCACCAACCTGATTATAGCGCCGGACATTCACTCTTCGTCCTCTGAATTTCGTAAACAACACGCGTGGTGCGAGGGTGTAGTGAGCAGGACTTTGCTGGTAGTGGTTGTATACACGTTGCCATATGAGAGCATTTATAGAGGGAGAGCTGACTCTCCCAACTCTCGGCAGTACAAGGGCATTTGGTGAAAACGTATCAATCATATGTTGAATACGTTATCCTTAAGTCATCTTCGTTATTATACGAGTAATTTTTACACAATTCTTTTCACCATAAACTAATATGAATTACTGAACTGTTGAAAGTTAGTGAGTACTGAAATAGATTGAACTCATACTGTACATTAGTATCCAATCGATAACTTCTAGATATCTATGCTAGTAACATATTGTTTAGCTACTAAGCATGCCCGGTTTATTCATATTTTTTTCAAATTCGATCAGTTTGTGATACGTTTAACTCTACATTATACAGCTGATTTTATTTTTGTTCGTTTCCTATAGTAATGTAGTACCAGAGTCTATATAAAGTATAATTTTGGTCTGTACTACTGTCAAACAGTAGTCGGAGATATAACAAATGGAATAACAAATTTTGTAAGAAATTACACTTGTAAAGACACTACAATGTCTATCGATTAATAGTAGCTGTCCAATAAAGACAAATAGAATCAGAAGAGTGAAACTGAATCAGATTAGTGGTGATAGATCAAACTAAAAACTGATTGGTTACTTGTTTACTTATTAATAATGATATTTATTCACAAGTCAGATTGTCACTACGATAACTTCCACAGTAAATCCACCTTGAAGCTAATCACTAACGTCTTCAAGACTTATTATTATTATTATTATTATGAATACAATGGTCTTGAGTGCTGTTAGAGGTATGAGGGTGGTTATCACTTCCTGGTTGCCCACACCGTGGAAGGGTTCTTCTGGAGGTACCTGAAAAGGAAATTGGATTAGAGGTGGTCTTAGTGACCCGGTAGCGTGACCGCAGTGCCCAAGGGACAACTGCTTGAGGTCGGTCACACATGACCTTTTATTGGTAATTTTTGTGTTAGCTCCGTACTTGTTGAGACCTTACCGTCGAGACGGATATCCATGGGATAAGGTGAGGTGTGCATGTTTAGGGTTGACATTTATAACCCCACTCCTCCTTGTGGGAAGGTATCATCGCTGTTATACTGGTTGTCTGAAGGAAACACCTTACTGCCATCACACCTCTGTACAGTCAGCAGTACGACTTCGCCTCGACCTTTTGATTTGGTGCTTTTAATCTTAGCGCTTTTCAACCGACCTGTGTAACATGGTAGGACCTTGAGGAACGGTTGTTCCAGCTAGTATAGCTCGGTTGCTTCATCTCGATAGGCAAGCACGACCACCACGTCAAGGTAGCAACTGTGTTGTGTGCTACTAATGTCGACAGATATGAATAGTATGTATCATCAATCCAAAGTGAAATGCCTGGTGGCAGAAAGTTAAGAAGATCGAAGAAAAGATAACAAGAACAAGAGTGTAGAAACGAAAGAACATTGAAATCTGAGACGACTGATTGATACTTTTCAATGAAGTATTCACTGTATGGTTCTTAGATGATACTAAAACGTTCCGTAATTGTCCTCACTTATGTTCTCATTCACTTAACTACTACTTTTAAAGTAGTCTTGATTCCAGATATACTCGTTAAATGGAGGAATTGAAAAGAAATTCAGTCTATGCATTAAACTTACATAACTAATTAGATAGATAAATGACTTAGATATGACTATTTATCATTTCGTTTTTTTTGATATAGGGAAAAGGTGTTTCAATGATTGATGCTTTTAATGCATGAAATTACTATTCCATTTTGTATTTATATAAGAATAAAGATGGAAAATTTGATTCATTTAAAATATAAACTGAAGATTGTTCTATATCGTGAATGAATGAATGTTAAATCACCATTGAAAACCTAGAAGTACTAGATAACTGTTTCGTCCCAGTATGAGACTCCTCAACAGTATACACCCATGATCCCACTTGTGACATTCGAACCTAGTGGGTGTGCAATAACCAACTGTGAGAAAGAACAAACCAGATCCCAGCGGAGGAAGAAATTAGAAAGAAGCGCTGGAAGCGGATAGGACACACATTGAGGAAAGCATCCAACTGTGTCACAAGACAAGCCCTCATATGGAATCCTCAAGGCCAAAGGAAAAGAGGAAGACCAAAGAACACATTACGCCGGGAAATGGAGATAGACATGAGAAAAAAGAACAAGAATTAGATGGAATTAGAAAAGAATGTCCAGGACAGAGTGGGTTGGAGAATGGTGGTTGGCGGTCTATGCTCCATTAGGAGTAACTGGCGTAAGTTAGTAATTAAGGGTGTGCACTACTGAGCGGTGATATACTAGGACGAAACGGCTGCCCAACCCTTTCAAGTTTTAAATAGTGGTCTAAAATCAATTGATTCATAATCTCAATTAAAAAAACATTATTGTTATTTCACCATTTTATTGAATTTTCATTTTTAGGGTAACATTAGAAGAATTAGAAAGATGGGCAGAATCATTTGATATATTAATGAGAAGTTCAAGTAAGAGTTTTTGATTTCCATAAATTTCTATTGTTCATCTTATTATCATGTTAGAATATTCATGTTAAGTATTAAAGTATAATTTATTCATTAAGTATGTATTGTATCGCCCCCAAATGCCCTAGTACGGCCGAGAATGGGAGAGTCAGCTATCTCTCTACAAATGCTCTCAAGTGACCACGTGCATACAACCACTACCAGCAAAGTTCTACTCACTACCTTCTTGCACCACGGGTGTTGTTTATGAAATTCAGAGGACGAAGAGTGAATGTCCGGCACTATAACCGGGTTGGTGGATATGGAGAGTCCACCTAAAAGAGTTGGAAAACCCTCATTCCAAAGCAATGGTGTACATGGGATTCAGAGAGAACAAATGTCGTATGAACCAATCGTTGGTCACTGGATATCATGGAACTTCATCTCCTGACGTGGCTCCACTGCGTTGTGGATCAGATCATAAGGTCTAAGGCTCCGGGTGTGGCTCCCTAAGAACACCACCTGCTTTGGTTTGGGCATTTGGGTACTCTTCCAGCCCTCATATAAATCGAATGATTTATGTAGCGCATATCTGTTTGGTGCCTCCTTGTACCAATGTATTATATCAGCTTTCATTTGTACTTATGCGAATGTACTGTCTACTGACGATACCTAACTCCTTAACTCTAGATAGGTGATATGAAGTTCCTATGTAAAGAGTAATTTAATGATAATTCATTTTACTCAATAATCCACATATCTTAATCATATCATATTGGATACTATTATTGGCGATAATAAATATTGTTAGTATGACATCAGAATACAGTAACGATGCAAGTTTATCAAAACCAAAGCTATTTTGAAGCAAATAATTAAAAAAACAAGGTAAAATCATACAGTATTCACAACCTTTTAACCGTGAAGTGATATACTATAGAATAGTATCTATATAATCATAACTTTTAATGGCGAGAGTATAATTTATGGATGAACCAATCAGAGCTGCGATAACAGGTCTTGGATTTCGAAGTGAAATTCTTTATCTATTTGGCTAAATAAAGTTTTGGCATTTTAGCTAATGTCAGTTCATGATGAAAACCCTAAATCTAATCTTTATCCCTAACCATCAACTGTAAATCACAGTCCCTATCCTTCACACAGGTTTCAAACCTTTATCTAACCGTAGTCAGTAGGTGGAAAGTCTCAAGGCCACTTTAGCGTCGATCAAAGGTCGTCCATAAATTATCGTCTCAGTCTTTCAATAACAATATTAAAGTTTCTATTGTAACATCAGACAACATGAACATTGACAAGAAATGAGTGGGCATAGTATACTATCACTTATATCAGTTTATGCTGACAATTACTAACATTCATTTGAAAGAGATAATATCAAAAATTCTGGATTGAAGTAACTTCTAAGGAGAATCAGGAAAGTTTAAGAAACACTGAATTGAGTTTAATTTGCATTCAGCAGACACATCGATATGAATCAATGAGTGAAACATCAACTAATTCCATAATTAGATGTTAACTAAAACAAAAGAAAGACAATCCATAGGAACAAATGGACATATGAAAATTATGAAACCTGAGTGAATAATTACTCAAATTCAAAGTAATTAGAATGAACTAACTTGTTACTTGTGAAATGATAAAGATCCTTGCTTCTATTCAAATTCACAGCCAATGGTAGCGAAAGTCAATTGGTATTTTTTGCTTGTATCTTCCTATTGATGTTTAGAGTTGCAATCTCTCGTGTTGGCATATGTGTATACTGTGCCTGTGCCTCGATATTTTCTTAATTCACAAGCTTTATAAGCAAAAATGGTTAGTGGCTAGTAGTGGAATTCAAGACGCATGTTTTGTTCTATTTCAATCTCATCGCTGAATGTACCTGCATCCCAGAGTTGATGTCCACTCTGGGACTCAAATCCAGTACCGTTCACACTTCAAACAAAAGTTTTACAATTAGACCATCCGATTATGGAAGTTCTGAAACTAAATTAAATTAGTCACTGATAAACTATTCAATACTAAATAAAGAGTGACTTTATTCACTTAAGATAATTTGGTTTTTAGATTAAATAACTCGTTATCAGATTCGACTTATTTCGAAAGCTACAGAAGAAGACTGTGAATGTTTCAGTTCCATATATGGTCAGAAATGGCCAAATCATTTCATGTGTAATTATTGACCAATTAGATTTACGGGTTCCAAGGTCACATTAGAACCGCTCAGCTTCCATCATACATCTTTGCTCTGATTGGTTGCGAAGCAGAGTAATCGTTTCAGTACTAAATTATATATTTTTTTGTATTTTTAAGGTGGTCAGAAAACATTTCGTGAATTTCTTCGATCTGAATACAGTGAAGAGAATATAATGTTTTGGTTAGCATGTGAAGATATTAGAAAAGAAAGTAATTTAGAGATTGTAGAAGAAAAAGCTCGTATTATTTATGAAGATTTCATTTCAATATTATCACCACGTGAAGTAAGCTATGAAAATTTATTTTGTACTGTATTTGTTAACCAATTACTTGTTTATCAGAAAGGAGTTTTTGTGGATGGTGTAGTATTTTGATAGTTGAATTCATAAGTCAATGAAAGCTGGACCACCATGAAAAACCTGGAAGTACTGGATGACAGTTTCGTCCTAGTTTGGGACTCCTAAGCAGTACGCATCCACGACCATGCCTCGCGAGATTTCAACCCAGGACCTATCAGTCTCGTGCGCGAACGCCTAACATCTAGACCATTGAGCTGGCCGGCAACTGACAGTGTTAATGTCTAAATTTAACCAATCCACCTAATTGAACCACCATCTACTATTGTCTTTAGTGGTTTACTATCTCACAAAAGACCCAGTTGAACTCCACAGAACTTCAGGAAATATCTAAAGTGCTTTCAGGTGTTCCATGGAGATCTAACTTCAATTAGCTCATGAACTCAACTATTAAAATTACTTCTTTGTTTGTTAACTATAAAACTTGAAAATGAATCAAGTTCCACCCCAAAGATACAGTTCAGAACAGCAGCAGCGCGTGAGCTATATGTAACTTGAAACATATACAATGAATGCTATTAAAAACTGGAGATTGGTTGACCTAATACATTTCCAAAAGCACTGATTAGTTTTCTTTTAAAGAAAAATAAACAGATGAAATCAGTGGAAATCTCTGATAAGATCAAATTAGCATACATAATATCTTCCTTTGACCTCAATTCACTGAAATAAGCGGAATTCATCATTTCAAAATTATCGTCGAAATTTCAAACAATAACATAGAAACGATGGATAGTGGTTAGCAGTGGAATTCAGGATGAGCGTTTCATACTATTTGTGTCTCGTCAGCTCGATGTATCTACATCACAGATTTGGTGTTCACTCTGAGATGGGACTCGAACCCAATACCGTTCACTTCAAACTTCATCGCATTATCCACTTAGTTACTGAATTTTGATAGTTTTTTACTTGTGCAATGAGATGTAGTTTAAAAACAATTGATATTGTTTACTTGAATCTTCTCATTGGTGTTTAAGAATGAAATGGATCAGTCTCTTTGCTTATAAAGCTTGCAAGATCGAAATGACGAACGATAATAAAGTTTTATTGTTATCCATAGACCGCAATGTTTTGTTTTGTTTTATTTGTTTTTTTCAACAAAGAATACATGATTTCTTCATTTACATAAAACAGGTTTCATTCTACCCATTAACATTGGTAATCAGATGTTTGTAAATGTATACTCTATAAACTCATTACATTTGTAAGATAATAAGTAATCTAATAAAGATCTTATTCACACAGGGGTTTTGTGAAGATTTACACACCATTGGATGCTGACTGACTCAGTAGTCTAAAGGTTAAGAGTTCACGTGCGGGACTGATAGGTCCTGGGTTGGAATCTCCCAAAACGGTATCGTGGGTCCACATTGCTGAAGAGTCGTAGACTAGGATGAAAACTCCAACCAGTTCTTCCAGGTTTTCCATGATGATCTAGCTTTAATTGATTCATGAATTCAATTATTACATATCTTATTATTTTTCCCCCAGTATATTGATGTATCTTAATTACACTGATAACAATAGATTCTAAGTTGGCAAGCTTTCAAATGTTTTGTATCCATCTAATCTTAAATGATTCAATTATAATCAAAGTAATAGGAAACTTCATGAACACTCTGATATATTTAATTAATTAGTTTGTAAATTTGTTTGATGGAGTAGGTTTAGTTAGACAACCATTGAAACTAGAAAACATTCAATAGCTGGTTTGATCTCAGTCAGTCAGTAACAACGTAGAACTTCGTACGTACGTACATCAGTTCGAGTTGTCATACCATATTAGCACAGAGATGCAGTTGTCGATTCAAATCTCATATTGGTAGATGTAGTAAGAGTATAAGCAGTAATCGGGAAGATTAGGGTTTGGAGATGTTGTTTAAAGAGTATTATACATTCATAACCTTGCCAATGATCGAATCCATACTCTTTAGATTTTGTGATGAACGTTTAACACTTAGACTATTAATCGGTTTTTGTCTGATTGTTTACATCTATATATTCAATCAACTCTCAATATTGCTCAACTGTTATCTATTCTGTATTGATTGATAGATTTCCTATTTTCCAATCATGTTTCAAGTGGTAATATCCTTGTTTAACATAACTTTTTTATTCAGTAAAGTTTTGTCATATCAAATTTTGAAAAGATATAGCTCATTATGTCATTGTAAAAAGACCATGGTAACACTATAATCTATGAACGACCTTTGAGCAATGCTAAAATGACCTTGAAACAACTATTCTAACACGATAATGAGTGGGGGGGGGAAAGTAAGCGAAAGACTTACACTTAGAATTTATGGTTAGGAATTAAAGTTGAAGCTTTTTACCAAAAATTCACATTAGCTATCATGCTAAAATGTTATTTAGTCATATAAATGAATGAAATTTTCCGCCAAAATCTAAGATCTGTTATCGTAAATCTGATTGGTTCATCCATGAATTGTGTGTTGGAGAACCGTATGAACAAAAGTAGAAACTAAGTATCCAAGGGCAAATATAAACCATTGACTATGATGAGATATACTGGAAGAAAGGTATTTCTTTCAAACAACCAGCATTTGGAGCTATAGTATTTTTCCATAACAGAAAATTGAAGAGTTATAAGAGATGAGCTGTAAAAATGATGTATCTTACCATAACCTACTGATTTATCTTACCGTCTATAAGATCTTCACAGTATAGAGCTAACACATTAAGAACTACTAATGTAAAGATCGTGTGGTGTTCGCTTCAAGCAACTGCTGTTTGTTCTATCAGATCATCAATATCTCTAATAATCCAATACCCTTTAGATATACTTTGAGAAGAAGTTTCTTCCTACAATGTAGGGAACCAAGTGGGGATAGGTGACTAAAACATCTCTCATAGCACATAACTTACTTACTTAGTTACTTACGTCTGTTAATTCTCGTGAAGGAGCATAGGCCGCTCACCAGCATTCTCCATCCAACCCTGTCCTGAGCAATCCTTTCCAGATCATCCAGTTGTTATTCATCCTTTTCATATCTGCTTCTATTTCTCAACGTGATGTGTTCTTTGGCCTTCCTCTTCTCCTCTTCCCTTCACGATTCCAAGTTAGGGCTTACCTCGTGATGCAACTTGATGATTTGCGTAATGTATGTCCTATCCATTTCCATCAAATTTTCCCAGTTTCTTGTTCAGCTCGAAGCTGGTTTGTTCTCTCCCACAGAAGGCTGTTGCTGATGGTATCCGGTCAATGGATGTTGAGTATCTTGCGTGGAAAACCATTTATAAATACTTGTACCTTCTTGATGGTGATTGTTGTAGTTCTCCAAGTTTCCACTCCGTTCAGTAGTACTGCCTTGACGTTCGTATTGAAGATTCTAACTTTGATATTGGTTGGCAGACAGTTGTTTTGAGTTGCATATTTTGTTCAATTGTAGTAATGTGGCCGTTGCTTTACCAATTCTCACCTTTACGTCTGCATCTGAACCTCCTTGTTCATCGATGATGCTTCTCAAGTATGTGAAAGATTCTACATCTTTTAGAGTTTCACCATCAAGAGTTTCATTAATTGAAATGAATATTTAATTTTAGGATGGTAGTTGGAGGTAGTCAACAGGAAACCCTAGACCCAGGTTTCGTGCTATTTAACACTCGTCAGCAAGGAAACTGGTGCTCCCTGACGGATTCGATTCCGTGTCACCCAGCTTCACAGTCAGAGACGTTACCACTGAGCTATCTGGACCTCGATCGATCTCCTGTAGGACTAAGACGTAATTACAACTGATTGATCACTGGATGATACCGACCAAATTGCAATGTAGCCACTCGTCTAGATGATTCGATGTTTTATATTATTTAACATTATTAAGTTATTTTTTCTCAACATTGACTTTGTTTGTTTGTTTATTTATTTACCGATTCAAGGTTAGTTTAGATTCACGTGTACGTGAAATAATCAATTCTAATATGATAGAACCAACACCGCATATATTTGATGAAGCCCAATTACAAATTTATACCTTAATGCATAGAGATTCATATCCACGTTTTTTAAATTCTAAATTATATAAAGATATGATTGAAGAAATGAAGAATGGACAAAGTTGATTATAGAAGTTCTATTTTGAGCTTCAGCAAAAGTAACTTGTATACATTCACATTCACACTTACACTGTCACATACACACACACACACACCTACACACATACAAATGAAACCAGTCAACTAATGATGAAGTAATTCTATCCATCGTAATCTCTTGCTCTCTCGCTCTCTCGTTTGCTCTTTCTTTCTTTATCCCATGATAATGTGATGATAAGTTTTCAATCAAAAATGAATGTTGATAATTGAAAATTATCTCTTTCAGTTTTCATTCACATTCTCTATCTCCCTACCTCTTTCTCTTTCTCTCTCACTATCTCAGTCTCTCTTTGTCGCTCCGTCTGTCTCTCTGCAGAATTTACAATGAATTTTGTTTGATAAACTTTCTTTCTGGTTTACGTTTCTTTTCTTTTCTTAATTATTCTCAACCACTACTACTGTTACTGCTACTACTATTACTACTACTGCTACTAGTACTAATACTACTTATATTAATATTAGTAGTATTGTGTAAACTGTATATAATTAGGTGTAATCCTTTAAATCAAAATGCAAAATCATGTCCTCAGTGAATAAACTATTCTGTTAATATCATTATACTTCTATCATTAATACTACTTATAATATAAGCATGTTGTACTTAGGAAAGCCAGTACGATACCATATATATTGTAATATGATGCCCAACATTCGTAATTTAACTGACTGGTGTCAACTCATTCCAACAATTTGTTTTCTAATATTAACATTGTCCTGTTCATGAAGTTACACAAATATATATACACACACACACATGAGCACAAACGAACACATACACAAAACCAAATGGTAATTTCTTTTCATTTTTTTTTAAATTATTGATGTCGTACGATTCATTCAACACAGGCTGGTTCCTGTATCTCGTGATCTTTCTTTATGTTTGATTTGATTTTATTGTCTCATTGTATGTATCTATGTATGTACGTTTGTTGTTTTGTTTTAGAGGGGGGGGTGTGCTGTTATTATTATTATTATTATCATTATTACGGTAGTGATTATGAGTGTTTGTCCTGTTTATTTGTCCCTCTTCAGTTGTTTTTTTTTCTTCAATATTAGGCATACATTAACCTATTTGAACAAGATCTAATGGATTACATCATTATGTTTATTCTATTTTTATTCTTTATTCAATCATACTATACTTTTACTTATATAAAAATTATTTATTTTTTAATATTTAAATTTTGTTTACATTCATGATGATTTTTCAAACAAACAAACAAACAAACAGCAACGATTGAACATTGAAAATTGTTCATTCTGATGAAGTGAATAAAGTTTATGCCAAAAGAAAAAAGAGAACAAGGAAAAGAAAGAAAAATAAAAGAGAGAAAAAGAAAGCAAAAAAAGAAAAGAACTAGAAAGAAAAGAAAAGAAAGAAAAAGAAAAGATAAAAGATAAATGTTTGTTTAAATGAACTTTACTACTATTATTATTAATTTGTTGATAGAATTTATCAAAAAAAAAACTATTTTATTTATGATTGTTTCATAAGATTGAAATGTATGTTTTCAGTGTGTATCCATTGAACATTGACAATATTTGTTTATATAAATGAAGAAACAAAAAAGATTAAATAAAGTATATTCAATGTTTAAATGAAATAAACAAGACAATATACCAGTTTTTTTTTTCTATTTCAAATAGTTAAATATACATAGTGAGTGATAGAAGTATAGTTCAAAGATGAGATTCATTGAGTGTAAAAAAACAAAAACAAAAACAAAACTCAAATGAATCCATTGTGAAAGATACTACTTATTATTTAATTCAATTCAATTCAATCATGTTTATTTCTTTTTTTTCTCTCTTATCTGATCTTCTTTTTGTTTTATTTTTTTTCTTGATTTATTTTGTTTTATTTTGTTTTGTCTTCTTTCAATGTTCAATCATTGAAAAAACAACAACAGTTTTACATAGAATTTTCTTAATTTTACACATTTCATATATAAAAAAAAGGAAAGAAAACAAAAAGAAAAAGAGGAAAAAGAAAAGAAAAGAGAAAAAACCATTAAATAAATCAATTTAGAAAATAAAATATATAGATACAATTTTTTATTGAACACATTTAATCACCATGTACTCTTTATTGATTTTTTTATTGATTTCAGGTTGATTTAAATGTTGATTTAGTGATTTCATTTGTAAAAACATCCCGAAATTTGATTGTTTTTTTTCTTTTCTCTTTATTCTCCCTACCTCCCTCCCTATCCCCTTTCTCTCCCCCCTCTCTCTCTCCCTCTAACTCTCTCAATGTATACATGCATACATATATACATACATTAATGTATTATGATTAGCATTTTTTTTTAAAAAAAATAAAGAAAAATAAAAGAAAGAAAAATTGAGATGAGCATAAATGAAATAATGAAAGAATAAAGAAAAAAAGAAATAGAGAAAAGAAAAGATTGTGAATTAATGAATAGTTCACTGTTATTATTATTATTATTCCTTTTTTTCTTTGTCTTTTTGTTGAAATTTCTTTAATTTTACTTTATGAAACTTTATTAGTATTTGAATAACATGAAACAAAATGAAGTTGATAGTTGTAATTTGTCTCACTTTTTATTTATTTATTGATTTATTGATTGATTGATTGATGAATTGATTTATTGATTTCTGTTATTGTATTCATAAAATTGTAATCAGAAAACAAAAACAAACAAAAACTAATTTCTGTTTCTTTTTTCTATCAACGTTAAAAAGAACATGAGTTTAATACATTAAGTAAATAGAAATAGAAACACAAATGTAGTTGATAGGAATAGTCGATTAAACAAATAAATCACTGCTGAGAAGTTCCACAATAGGATGAAACGGTCATTCAGTGCTTCTAGGTTTTCTATGGTGACCTAGCTTTCATTGACTCATCAATTCAGCTATTAAAATTAAAATATCCATAAAGCGTTTCTCTGATTATAATCATCATTTGCTCACTAGTGACAAATTTCAAAATGTATTTCCTGGAGTTCTAGTGAGAAGCCGTGACCAGTGGAGTACAACCAGGTCTATTGGGAAATAGTAACTCATTCAAGACAATGGTGGATCGTAGCTGAATTTGGTGGATAAGTTGAAGTTAGACATTAACACCGTTAAATGCTGGACGGCTCAATGGTCTACAGATAAAGCGATTGCTCGCGAGACCGGAGGTCCTGGATTCAGGTGTCGCGTGCGGTTTTCCGGATGCTCACTACTAAGAAATTTCACAATAGGATGAAACGGACGTCCAGTGCTTCTAGGTTTTTCATGATGGTCTAGCTTCAATTGATTCACAAACTCAACTATTAAATTACTACAATCTCCACAAAACCCCCTTCTGAAAATGTTTTTAGTTTTAAGTTATTTTCTAGAATTCATATAAACTACTTAAAATAAAATCAGTAGCCACTATTTTATTCATATAATGTTTTGGCTTATTGTGATGTTGATTGATAGTTGACGGAGTTGATCTTACAGCCAAATAGAATTGATCTCAAACGATAGGATCATCTACTATACAACCCTATATATATATGGTGAAGAATTAAATCGGTCACTACACTTAATTACTGTGCTTGGACTGACAGCCGGCTTTATGCTAATACATAAGAATTTAATAGTTGAATTCATGAGTTAATTAGAACTAGACAACCATGGAAAATCTGGAAGCACTGGACTACTGTTTCGTCCTAGTATGGGAATACTCGTCCATCCAGTACTTCCAGGTTTTCCATGGTTGTCTAGCTTTCATTGACTGATGAGTTCAACTATCAAAATACTATAATATCCACAAAACTCCTCTCTAGTTTATACGAATTTATAAATAGGGATTTATGGACATTATCAGTATAGGTGTAGTGGAGATTATTGAGTTTTTGATTGAGATCATGAACCGATTGATGTAAGACCACCGTTGGAAACTTGGAAGCACTGGACGACCGTTTCGTCCTATTGTTGGATTGGTTGATGTTAGGCACTAACACCATCGGATACCGGGGCAGTGGTCCAGTAAGTTAAACGTTCACGCGCCAGACTGAAGGCCCCGGGTTCGAATTCCGCGAGCGAGATCGTGGATGCACACTGCTGAGGAGTCTTACAACAGGACGAAACAGCCGTCCAGTGCTTCCAGGTTTCCAACGGTGGTCTAACATCAATCGGTTCATCATCTAAATCAAACATGTTGGAAATAAGCGAAGCAATTTATATGAGCCATTGGTCACAATCAAGTAGATTACATAACTACATACAATAGGCAAAGATTAGTAAGAAACTAAGTGTACTAATAGGAATATAAATAATGAAATAATAGAATTTCTAATTAATAGTTTAACAGAAGAACTAGGTCAAACTTGGATAGATCGATATTAAAAAAATAATCACTAGAAATCAACAAAATTACCCAATAAGAAGTGTATAAATAATCAAATTATGAAGGATATAAACAGAAGGAAGTGCAGAATAACAAGCGAATTTCGGATTTGAAAGAAATCCGTAATTTATTTAAAAAATTATATCAAATCATTATTATTATTATTAATATTTAAACACATAAATATTGATACAAGGAGGCACCAAATACAAATGCGCCACACAGAGCTCATTTGATATGTGTGAGGGCTGTGATACTGCCCAGTTTCCCAAACCGAAACAGGTAGTTTTCTTAAGCGGTCACACCCGGAGCCTTCAACCTGAAGGTTTGATCCACAAGGCAGTGGAGCAACATCAGGAAATGAAGTCCCATGGTAGCCGGTAACCAATACTTTATTCATACGCTATTTGTTTCACCAGGATACTGGAGGCCAGGTACACCATTGGTATGGAATCAGAGTTTCCCAACTCGCCTATGTAGATACTCTGTATCCGCCAACCCGGTTAAAGCGCCGGACATTCGCTTTCCGTCCTCTCAATTACGTAAACAGCACCGATGGTGAGAGGGTGTAGTGAGTAGGCCTTCCCTGTCAGTGGTTGTATGCACGTGTCATGTGAGA